CATCAGATGGGTGCCCACTAAATAATGTTGTTGAAGGAATTGTTCTGAGACTCCCCTTAGAAATAGAAACTAATGGAACATTCGACGATCACGTAACACGTAACAATAAGCTGCAGTGATATACAATGTTCAGTTTCTAGTCAAATTGACAATGGTGTAAAGACTACCTACCGAATGCCATTCTCGAACATATGGCAGAAAGGCCAAGGGAACTTTACATAAGTCAGATGGGTAGTATTTATAAGTTCAAACGATTGTATCGGTATATTTACACGTGTTCGGGTTTTATGGTGAAAACACTAAAACATGCGCTAAATATACAATATCGAGTAGTATCTACGAAATTAATCGCGATGACGAAACTTGTCGGGCTGATATTTTATTTAATCACTTCCATATGCAATTATTAAACGAGTTCTAATGGACATGACGACTTGGCGAGTTCTATCTACATTCACACATTTCACCAACATTATCAAACAAGTGCCTGCTGAAACATATTGAGTCATGTATATTCATTAAGAAATTTAAGTTCCCTGAACACACGTTCTAAGTAACGACGTCCCCACGATATTTTGCATGAGGGGGCGAGATCTGTTCACCAACATTGCGCCCTTAAAGATTTTGAAATCTAGACTCACTGAAACGTTTTTTCTTGCATTTTCAGGGGCTCATTTTGCTGACACAAAATGTTTCAGCTTGAAACTTTTTTGAGGAGGCGATAGCCCCTTCTGCCCCCGTTATGCCGCCACAGTGTTTATACTGATTACATCAGCTAAGAGAAGATACTTAGTAGTTAAAAATATGTTTTTACTTGGATCGATGACACTCAACAACCTACCACTTTGACCATAGTTACCCGACCCAAGCGAACAACGAACGCTTGACAATATACGAGGGTGGAATTAGACAACATACTTTTACGGCACTTTTCACTCACACACGGATGGCACACGCGAAGTGACGCGGCTGGAATACCTTATCAACTTAGCAACCTGTGTTAGATGACTACTCCACCTATCGTTATTCGACAAAAGGTAGTGACCATCAGTTACATCTATGGAAAGCCGATCGGAACGCCGGAGAGTTTAATAAAATACCAACAAAGAAACATAGGTAGTTAAAAATTCATTCGACGTGTGAGGAATCAGCTATTCAGTCAGTCAACGGCATAATATTTACTAGGTGGGCGAATCTTCACATCTGCATCATGAGATGGGCTTCGTGATCGACAGACATACAGACAAAACATTCCTTCACATTTCTAAACCTATGTCAAACAGACATACAACCTACGATTCATCTGTGGTTCAGTTTTATGAATCCTGGAACATATAATATAATGCCATTCAAGTTGGTGGATTTGTTCGACTGAAGGCGTTGCGCGAATATCATGCTGCCTCTAAGTCTATGTATCTTTCAGTGACTATCCAGTAAATAAACCCAACAGCGTCTTACCTCCAATTGACCTTTTGTATCTGGTCAAATTAGTCATCACAGTTTCAGGCGTTATCATATGACTGATAGAACGATGAATCTCTAAAGATAGCGTGACCGATTCATAGTTATTGGTAGTTCTAACACTTCATGTCTCTTTTGATCACCATCGACCAAACACTTACAGGTGGGTACTATATTATTTAAAACGTGGCATTGTTCCGAATTTAAAGATGATATGGCGGCACAAAATATAGACAGAATATGCAATCTGATCAGTGTGAAATGCCCCAGCTGGACACATTGGTCCGTCCATTGCGCATTTGGACAGATAATACGTAATACGTAACATCACAATAGTGATTATTGCTCTGTTAATTTGTAGAAATTGAAAACGATATTTTTAAATGATGGCATGTACACTTTTAAATGAGTTTTCAGAGCTGTGACACTGGTCATGGGAGTGTTGTTAATTCAACCCAGTTAACATTGATGCAACATAATTATGCGGTTTTTCTACTGCCACTCGCGCTTTCCAACGTTCACACATTTCATTTACGTTGATATGTGGTATATACGAATCAAATATAATTTTTAACATTGAAATATTTATAAACTTAACATGTTATCGTTGACCGTTACAAAGATGACAGTCAAAGGACGGTATCACTTAAGCCAATATTGAGATAAGATAAGGCTTGGGCAATCTTTTAAGGAGATAACATTTACGCATTTTATTGTAGGTGGCGCTCCCAAGTGAATTTCACGCAATCCTTGGCATCTGAGTTCAAACACTGTTTCGAAGCCGTGCATTGTATAATAACATAATTAAACCTGTGCTGACTTGTTTAATGTAAAACACACGTCATGAAATTCGTTGGCGCAACGTATTTTGAAGCCAGTGTACACATTAAAAAGAACTGATAACATTACCGACCTCGTCTGAGATTTTAAGCGTTGCACTTAATATGTTATGTGTTAACAGAAGCATTAAACACGTTTACCTTACTTACTCCTGTTAACATATGTCACATTGCTTTCAGGATGTTATCTCGTATGCTATTCAAAATGATTGTGTCATGTCTGTTTGCATCTATGGCAAATTGCTGGGATGTACCAGACAACATATACAATACTTACTTCGGGACAATCTCGAGGGAAAGACCGTATATGCCGACTGAAATATATGGGGAGATACCAGACTGGATCGAAGGTATGACATGTATTTAAAGGGCGGTGGTCGTCGCGCAGCGCGTGTTCGGATTTTATGTAAATAAACAATGTATTTTACACGCGTTGTATATCGTCGCTATGAGTCCCATATCGAACAGGACGCGGCGCGACGACTGCCGCCCTTTAATGTTACGCATAAACTCATGAATACAATTAGTTAATAAAGTCGTGATTAAAACGTAATTTTGTAGTAACGTACATTT